GCGATGATGTGTCAGAACAAATCCTATACAAAAACGCAATCCACGTGACGCGAGCATTCCACAGCGGGAAACGGGCACCCATTCGAGGTGGTCGGGAATTAGCTAACACTGTGTCTAGCACTAAAATGACCTCCAGACAGATTATAATGTTAAAACTTACGTAAATCAGTAATAAACTCTAGACTAGCTAGTAGGAAACAAATCGAAGTCTTTTTTACCCTCTGGAAAAGCGTTCAGAACTTTTCCTTACCTTCCTTCATGTTCCTTAAACTTCCTAAGGAGTTTTATAAATGTTCCACCAAAGGAAGAAATCACAAGGAAAAAGACAAACCTGTTTGGCCACGTGGTGAGCGGTGGTGTGGGGTGGCAAGGGGGTCCCCGGGAGGTCACTACTGTGGACACGGGCAGGAGTGACCGACTGTGCAGGAGGAAGCCAGGATGGCCAGCGGTGTCCATCATTTTTGAAGACTGAGGAATGACACCAACATACTTTTGTGATTGCCACGTTGCGCCCAGGCGGCCTTTGGATGCTCACACAAGTCACACCCTTAGGAACACTTACACCCTTGATTGTGCACAAGACCACACACCCTTGGAGTTCCACAAATGCACTTTACCTCAGCTTCATGCACCCATCTGTCTCCTGCAAAAGTGTTCCTTTGAGGCCGGGCACGGTGGCTCATGCCTGTGTTCCCAGCACTTTGGGAGGCCGAGGTGAGTGGATCACTTGAGGTCAGGATTCGAGACCGGCCTGATCAACATGGTGAAACCCTGTCTCTACTAAAAAAAATACAAAAATTAGCCAGGCATAGTGGCTCACGCCTGTAATCCCAGCACTTTGGGAGGACGAGGTGGGTGGATCACTTGAGGTCAGGAGTTTGTTACCAGCCTGGCCAACACAGTGAAACCCCATCTCTCCAAAAAAAAAAAAAATTTTTTTCTGGCATGGTGGCTCACGCCTGTAATCTCAGCACTTTGGGAAGCCAAGGTGGGCGTATCACTTGGGATCAGGCATTCGAGACCAGACTGGCCAACATGGTGAAATCCTGTCTCTACTAAAAAAATACAAAAATCAGCAAGGCATGGTGGCACACGCCCTGTAATCCCAGCTACTTGGGAGACTGAGGCAGGAGAATCGCTTGAAACCGGGAGTCGGAGGTTGCAGTGAATGGGATCGTGTCACTGCACTCCAGTCTGCACGACAGAGCAAGACTCCATCTCAAAAAAAAAAAAAAACAAAAGAGTCATTGATTGTAAGGTGCATCTGTTGCAAGTTGCATCCCATGCCTTCTGCAGAGGGCACCAGTCCTGCAGAGGGCACCGCGCTGCAGGTGTGCGAACCGCCTGCCCTTCTCCCCCGGCCCTTGCTTCTCTCAGCCTGTCCCATAACCTGCACATGGCGCCCTGTCCAGCTGCACACTCACAACAGGGCAGAGACCTCTGAAGAGCTCCCGGTATTGGGAGATGATTCTACCCATTGCTGGTGCTCCTGATACCCGGCTGGGCTGCGTGTCCCCAAACCAGAAGACTCACCTGCTCCCGCACCCAGGGTCCCTTGTGACCAGGAACAAAGCTGCAAGCCAGGTTCGGGCCTTTTCTGGGCTTCGAATGCACCGGCCCTTCCAGGGACTTCCCCTGCGAGACTCTGACTTCATGGGCCTTCGCCCCCGCCAGGACTGGATAAGTAGCCCGCCCGCGGGCACCAGCCTCATAGCCGCCCACGTTGCCCTCGAAGTCTTCGCGGAGGGCAGAACATGTTTTTAAAACACACACAAAAAAAGCCATCCTGTCTGAAGCGAACATTTTTCCGGCTTGTTGAATACCACCATTTACATTCCTGGGCCGGCCAAGATATTTACAGCCCTTCCCTGGCACTCCATCTTGCCTAATTGGCGCGGCCTGACAGGGCCCCTATCCGTCATGGTAAGTGGGCCTCTCACCAGCCTCCAGCGGGCCCTCTGCCAGCCCGGACATTCCCAGGCCTAAGTAGGGGAGGCGGCCCTCACCCCATCTGCTGCCTGGGCCCCTCTCCGGGGGCTTGGCCATGCCAGGGAAGACCCCGAGAGCAAACGACTGGCTCAGACCATCTGGACCATCCAGCCCAAGGGTGGCCGGGGCTCGCTGACGGCATCTGCCCAGACATTCCCCGGCATCCACGCTGTCCTCAGCCCCCCTGTCACCCTCCTCCATCCCCCCTGGCTTACAGAGGAAGCCCTGTCACTCTGCTGCCTGATGACCTCACAGTCCCCCGTCCTTCGGGATGGAGCCTCAGCTCCTTTGTGGGCTCTGGAAGGACTGTCACTGTCTGTCCAGTGACAGCCCTGATGCTCCTCACTTTCTGTCGCAGCCACAAGGAGGGACATGATGTTTCCCAGGAAGGGAATATGGGCTCCAGGCATTTTTTTTCTTCCTTTTTTGGTTTTTTGAGACAGAGTCTCAGTCTGTGGCCTAGACTGGAGTGCAGTGGCGTGATCTTGACTCACTGCAATCTCTGCCTTCCGGGTTCAAGTGATTCTCCTGCCTCAGCCTCCCGAGTAGCTGGGATTACAGGCACCTGCCACCACACCCGGCTAATTTTCATACTTTTAGTAGCGACAGGGTTTCACCATGTTGGCCAGGATGGTCTTGAACTCATGACCCCAAGTGATCCCCGCCACCTCAGCCTCCCAAAGTCCTGAGATTACAGGTGTGAGCCACTGTGCCCGGCCAGCCAACCCAACTTCTGAGCCTCAGTTTCCACATCTGAAAAATGAGAAGCACCAGTGCTCCCTACCTCAGAGGATAGTTGAGTTAGAGCCAGTAAAAGCAGCACTGTGACGTGCTGTCTGCCTGAAAGTTTTCTCATGTAGAGACAGGGTCTCATGCTGTTATTAACATATTACGTCATCACGCTCGCATGCTGTTATTTCAGTTGCAAATTCATTCAACAGCTGCGAGTGCCTCCTGGGAGCGCATCAGGGAGTGAGATGAGTAAGGATCCTGGCCTCAGGGGTCTTACAGTTTGGTGGCAGAGACAAGAGGCGAGCATGTCATTATAAATAAGGTAAATTTCATGAAGGAGACACACAAGGGGCTCTGAGGGAAAAGACGGGGAATCCTGGTTTGGGTCGCTGAGGAAAGGAAGCACTGGCCGGGCGCATGGCTCACGCCTGTAATCCCAGCACTTTGGGAGGCCAAGCGGGCGGTGGATCACTTGGGGTCAGGAGTTCGAGACCAGCCTGGCCAACATGGTGAAACCCCGTCTCTACTAAAAATACAAAAATTAGCCGGATGTAGTGGTGTGCACCTGTAATCCCAACTACTCGGGAGGCTGAGGCAGAATTGCTTGAACCCGGGAGGAGGAGGTTGCGGTGAGCCGAGGTCGCACTACTGCATTCCAGCCTGGGCGACAGAGCGACACTTCATCTCAAAGAAAAAGAAAGTAAGCTCCCAGCTGAGACCTAAAGTATAAGAAGAGACCAGTGGGCAAAGAATTGCAAGGAAGAGCATCCAGGCAGAGGGAACGGCATATGCAAACATACAGATTCCAGGGGAAAAGAATTGAGGGAGAGTGAAATTGGGAGGTGAGGCAGCACCCGGTCACGTCGAGCTTCAGAGCCACTTGGGAGATGCTAATTTAGGTGCAAATGCAATAAGATTCCCTTGGGGAAAGGGGCGGTTTAAGGAGGAGAATGGCAGTGGGGCCTGATTTACATTTTCAGCGGGTTATTCTGGCTGGAGAGGAGGCAGGGAGGCGGGGAGGAGGCTGTGCTGGCCTCCAGGGCCGAGCTGGTGGTGGCTTGGCACAGGGGTGGCAGCGAGAACAGAGGGAAGTGGGTTTGGGATTGACTTTGGAGGTAAAAATGACGAGTCTTGGCGGTGGCCGGGGTGTGGGTGGTGAGGGCAGGATGATCCAAAGATGCCTCCCGGTTTTCTGGCTGGAGCCACCAGGCAGACGACGGTGCCATTTCCTGAGATGGGGAAGACACTGGGAGGGGCAGGCTGAGGAAGAAACCAAGAGGTGGCTCTTGGACGCATTACGTTTGAGCCGTTATTTGTCCTGCCTGGCTAATGAGTGACAGCTCTGTGGGCCTCAGAGTGACACTGCCCCTGTTCCCCTGTTCCCCTGCGGCCCCTGGTCATGTGTGGCCCCATGAGGCGTTTCAAGGCACTGAAATCATTCGAGCATCCTCTAGCCCTGCTGCTTGGGGCCAGCACCACCTTCCCAGTTCACAGCAGCAGAAGAACTGGCTCACCCCATCCATTTCATTCTGAAGCAGAGAAAGACCACAACCTCATCCGCAGGCTCAGTGGGAAGGTGTCCATGTCTCTGGTGGGTCCCCTGGCTGCTGTCAGCTCTAGACCTTGGGACTGACCCCCTTCCCCTCCCGTCCCCCTAGCTCAGCCACCACTCCCGGACCCTCTCTGCAGAATTCTTTATTAGTTTTGTAGAGACAGGGTCTCTGTCTTCTGGGCTGGAGTACAGTGGTGGGATCACAGCTCACTGCATCCTTGAACTCCTGGGCTCAAGCCATCCTCTGACCTCAGCCTTCCAAGTAGCTGGTACCACAGGCATATGCCACCACGCCTGTCTAATTTTTACATTTTTATAGACACAGGGTCTTGCTATATGGCCCAGGCTGCTCTTGAACTGTCCTCAAGCAATTCTCCCACTTCAGTCCCGCAAAGTGTTGGGACTACAGGCACATGCCATCATGCCCAGATAATTTTTAAATTTTTATAGAGAGAGGGTCTTGCTATGTCGCCCAGGCTGGTCTCCAACTCCTGGCCTCCAGCCATCCTCCAGCCCCAGCCTCCCAAAGTGCTGGGATTCCAGGCGTGAGCCACCACACCTCGCCCTGCAGATTCCGCCTTGAGCCCCGCCTCTGCCATCCATATCTACTAGTTATGTGAGTCTTCCGTGTCTGTGGAATGCGGTAACAGACAAGGTTTCCTTAGGGCTGTGGGGAGCATTCACTGAGACAATATTTATAAAGGTTTCATGTCAAAGCTACTGAAAAGCGAGTGTGAAGTTTGCTGTTTTTGTTATTTATTTTTGCCTGATCTCCCCGCAAGGCCACCATAAAGGTCTGATTATGAAATTCACAAGCCAGAGGCCCCCAGCTCCTTCTTGTCTTTTCCCACCTCCCGCTCCGGCTCATAGGAACCATACGAAGCTCTGATGGTGGGATTCCAGGCATCATCAACCAATGGAAAGGCGGTGGGGGGGGGCACTGAGTCACCCCATATTGGCGTACGGCAGCCTCTGGGGCTGTGGGCAGGGCTGGCTTCGTCTGGTGACCGGGGCGGGAGCTGGCAGAAAGCCGGGGAAGGGGGACAACGGGCCTTTGTCTTTGCTGAGGTTTCTCCGTCCAAGATGCTCTTGCCCCTAGACAAACATGACCTCATTCCTCCTCCAGGCTCCAGGACCCAGGGCAGAGACAGGCTTGGAGTGGGACGTACCCACCCCATTTCACAGACTGCAACACCAAGTCGCACAAGGAAAGAAGAAAAGAGGACACCCAGCCAGAAGTCACGCCCTCCTGGGTTGCTGAGCCCAGGGAGGGGACTCACAAGAGGGTCTTTTTTTGTTGTTTGAGATGAAATCTCACTCTGTCACCAGGCTGGAATGCAATGGCACGATCTCGGCTCACTGCAACCTCTGCCTCCCAGGTTCACGCAATTCTCCTGCCTCAGCCTCCCGAGTAGCTGGGACTACAGGCACGCACCACCATACCCAGCTAATTTTTATATTTTTAGTAGAGACAGGGTTTCACTCTGTTGGCCAGGATGGTTTCGATCTCCTGACCTTGGAATCCACCCACCTCGGCCTCCCACAGTATTGGCATTACAGGTGTGAGTTACCGCGTCCTGCCCACAAGAGGGTCTTCTAGGCAGCAAAGGTCTGGATATCTCACAAGCTCCTGGGACAGACAGGTTGCGTTTGGATCTGCCCCTCACAGCTGTGTGACTCTAAGCAGCCTACTCACCTTCTCTGGGCCCTGGTTTCTGCATCTGATGCAGGCCTGGCAGCCTCTTCCTTGCAAGGTTACGATTCCCTGGAGATCACAGCTAGGGATTCAGACAGACCTGCTTAAAGCCACACCACCTACGCCCACTGCTCTGCCTTCAAAGGGGCGATCTCCCAGGGAAGGCAGTGGGGATTAAGGCCCATTCCAGGCAAGCCTCCAGGGTCCGCAGATGTCCCTCTTTTGCCAGGAGCTCTGCAGTGACAAGGCCTGGTACGGGTCTGGCATATCTTTCTGGTAGCTTCCCAAGTGACATTCTCCCACACTGGCCCTGCTGACCTTTCACCCCCTGCCCACAGCAGCCCTCATTTCCTATGCCAATCCCCCCTCCCCAGAGGGTCTTCTCCAAACCGGTCTCCATCCCCACGACCATCTGGGGACACCCCTGCTCCTGAAACCTTAGCAATTCAAGTTGCAAGATGCCAGCCAGAGGGACGCCCAGCCATTCTCTCAGTCTCATCTCTAGAATGGGACAGTGGGGCTGGGCATGGTGGGCTAATGGCTGCAATCGCAACACTTTGGGTGGCTGAGGCAGAAGGATGGCTACAGGCCAGGAGTTCGAGGTCTGCCTGGGCAACATAGCAGACCCTATCTCTACAAAAAAAAAAAAAATAGCTGGGCATGGGGGTGTGTGTCTATGGTTTCAGCTGCTCGGTAGGCTGAGGCAGGAGGATTACTGAATCCAGGAGTTGGAGGCTGCAGTGAACTATGATTGCGCCACTGTACTCCAGCTTGGGGGATAGAACAAGCCCCTGTCTCTAAAAATAAGTAAAATGGGGCTGGGCATGGTCACTCGCACCTGTAATCCCAGCACTTTGGGAGGCCGAGGCGGGTGGATCACCTGAGGTCAGAAGTTCAAGACCAGCCTGCCCAATATGGCGAAACCCCATCTCTACTAAAAATACAAAAATGAGCCGGGCGTGGTGGCAGCTGCCTGTAATCCCAGCTACTAAGGAGGTTGAGGCAGGAGAATCGCTTGAACCCAGGAGGTGGAGGTTGCAGTAAGCCGAGATCACGCCATTGCACTCCAGCCTGGGCGACAGAGCAAGACTCTGTCTCAATAAATAAATAAATAAATAAATAAATAAAATGGGAATAATGGTAATTCTTGGGGTCATGGGAGCATTTGGTAAGAGTGGAGACTCCAGGGACCTGCACGGGGCTGGGCACAGAGTAGATGCTTATGGAAATGACAGGCTTATTAATACCAACTATTCATCCTCCTCAAAGGTCATTCAGAACAACCTCCCAAGTCACTTACGGAAAGTAAGACCAGAGAGGGTTAGTTCTCAGCCATCGTCACACAGCCTGTCAGTGCTGCCTTGAGGGGTTCTCAGGCTGGGCTCTGGGTCTCAGCCCAGGGACCAGGTGAGGGAGGAGGGTGAGTGAGGCTGGAGACGGCCCAGGCTCTGGCCTTGCCCTTGGCCCCGTCTTCCACTGCGGCTGCATTCCCAGGGAGATAAACAAGGGATCAGTGGGAACAAAATGGATGAAGTAACGGGGAAGATATGAGCGGCCGCGCCCAGCCCCCAGCCCGCCCCGCCTGCCTGCCGGCCTGCCCGCCAGCAGGGACGGCTTCAGGAGAGGTGCAGCCGGCCCCTGAGTCTCAGCTCGTGCCAGGCACTAAGGGCGCTCAGCACTGGCAAGCCCTGCCTGATCCCTGGGCTCAGGCGGCAAACCCGTATTGGTGCCCTTGGACCCTGTCCCGACGCCCCACCCTCCCTGAGCTGGGATTATTTCAAATCCCCTCCACCAGAGCCTTGGAGAGACTGCACGCTCCCAAGTGCAGAGTCAGAGTCCTGGGGCCGTCTGGAGCGGACATGGGGTTTGCCACCCTGGCTCAGCTGGTTGGGGTTTAGCCCGATGCAGCCTGTCTGTGTCTCTGGGGCACCTGCAGTGCCTTACTGCCTCAGGCCAGGTCCTGGCTGTGGTGGAGGGGCTGTGTCTGCCCAAAGCCTCCCCAAGCCCAGTGCCAGCTCCTGTCCCTGCAAGTTTCTGCCCATCCTGACCTCTCCAAGGAGCCCGGGAACTCAGGGGCCATCTCCAGGGCCAGATGGAAGGCTGGCACTGCTGCCGAAGCCTGGACACCCAGCCAGCCGGCCACCACCCCGGGCACCCTCCCCTGCAGAGACATAGACAAAGAGCGAATGTGTTGGCCAGACAGGGCTCCACCCGCCAGCTGTGAGTAGCCAGGACCTGCAGCCTCGGGCCAGGGACCCCAGAGGCTCCTTGCCTCAGAAGGAGGCAAGAAATGAGCCCTCGGCCTGCCAGGAACCATCACTGGGGTGCCCACCAGTGCCCTGAACTGGGATCCTGGCACCGAGGGGATGTGCAGTGGGCATCCTGGGCCTGCCCGGCTCACTTCGGCCTCAATTGCCCACCGCAAACAGTCCCCAAATTGCCCCAGGTCCTGACCAGGCTAAGAGGGGGCTGTCTCTCTCCCCTCTCAGAGATTTTTCTTTGCAACCAACAGAGCTAGAAGGGTGAGCCCCAGGCCCTGTAATCCGCATTTTGTAACTCCCTGGGTGATAGGAAGGCAGGGGGTCTCTGTGCACACCTGTCCACGCTGGTCCCTTCCTCATTTCCCCATCCCCTTCCTGGTTCCAGAAGGCCCTGTCCCTACCTGTAGTGGGAGGCTCCATCATCCCAGCTTTTCCAGCACTCAGGCCCCCATTTTTCCGGCTGACTTTCTGCCCCCCACGCCCCAGGCATCCTCTGTTATGACAACGGAGAACCAAATTTGTTTCCCCAGCAAACAACCACTTTTCCTCTTCACGAGCTGCTTCCTCTGTCAGAAACGCTTGTTCAGTGGTCTCCTTTCTGCCCAAAATATTCCTACTCAGCCTCGCAGGCCAGCTCCTACGTTGCCTCCAGGAAGCCTTCCTTGATCTCCGTCCTGTCCATTCTGTCCCTCAGTCCTCATTTATCTTCTCCTAGTGCTTATTACTCCAGAATAAAATTGCCTCTCCTCTGGCTAGGAGTTTGTCAAGAACCGAGGCTGCATCTGAACCTCCCACACTGAGCCAGCCAAGGGCTGCTGGCTGAGCAGGACAGGCCACGGGGCCAGGCCACCCCCCAAGCTACGACAACACACGTACCCAGACTCAGACGTCTCAGGGGACGTCACATGTGGAGCGTGGGGAAAAGGGACCAACATTTGCTGAAGTCCTACGAAGTTCTAGGCTCTTTCGTCCCTTCTTTGAAGGAGAAGACTGAGTCCCAGGGAAAGGAACTGACTCATCCAGGGTCACTCAGCTCAGAGGCGGTGACGTTGGCCTGGGAATCCCTGTGATCATTCTCCAGACCTCACTGACCCCATGGGACCACAGTCTCCAGCTCACCCTGTCCCCCAGCAGGACACACACTGAGTGAAGTTAAGAAAAATTCTAGGCCGGGCATGGTGGCTCGCTCCTGTAATCCCAGCACTTTGGAGGCTGAGGTGAGAGGATCCCTTGAGTCCAGGAGTTTGAGACCAGCTTGAGCAACATAGTGAGACCCCACTTGTACAAAAAAAAAATTACAAAAATAGCCAGGCAGTGTGGCGGTGTGCACCTGTAGTCCCAGCTACTAGGGAGGCTGAGGTGGGAGGATCACTTGAGCCCAGGAGGTCGAAGCTGCAGTGAGCTGACATTGTATCACCACACTCCAGCTTGGGTGACACAGTGAGATTCTAGCTCAAAAAAAATCTGAGAACAAGGACTTGCCCAGAGCCGAGGCCCAGAGCCAGCAGCCTGACTCTAGAGGGTATAACTGAGGAGCTGGCCCTCGGGACACATGTGGTCCCTGCGTATGTGGCAGACAGTGGACATGCGGCGAGACTGGCCAGCTCATGAGCCTAGGACCTCTGCCACTCTGGCCAGGGAGCCATCTGCCCTGGGGGCCACAGGTTCCCAAGGCTGCTCCCCTGAGAGTCGTCAGGCAGGGTCTGGATCGCAGAGTTGACACTAAACACAGCCTCGTGCAGCAGACAGGCGTGGGAAGCACCCCCGAAGAGGCCAGTGCTGTTTTGAACAGAGTGGGGATGAGGTGACCCTTGACTCCCTGCCAGGAAGCCACTTAGCAGCACCGGAGACACCCAATCTGTCAGCACGGGCTGCGTGACGGGCCGGCGTCCAGCCATGGCCGCGAGGGGAACCATCAGAGGAATGCCAGATGGGCCCAGGGCCCTGGCTCAGGGGGAGGCCATGGGGGCTGTGGTCGCCATCCGTAGGGAGCCGCTCTCTCTCTCTCTTTTTAATTTAAATTTAAGAGACAGGGTCTCTTTGTGCAGTGGCACAATCACGGCTCACTGCCTCAGTGCAGCCTCACCTCCTGGGCTCAAGGAATTTAAGGCGAATCCTCCCGCCTCAGCCTCCTGAGTAGCTGGGACTGCAGGTGCACTCTACCACACCTGACTAATTAAAAAAAAAAAAAAAGTGTAGAGATGGGGTCTCGCTATATTGCCCAGGCTGGTCTTGAACTCCTGGCCTCAAGCGATCCTCCCGCCTTGGCCTCCCAAAGTGCTGGGATTACAGGCGTGAGTCACCATGCCTGGCCAGAGACACCATTCATGACGAGCTCAGGGTCCTCCAAGCCAGCATCTGCATGGCTCACCTACCACCCCGGCCCGCCACGGGCTCTCTGTCTCCACCGTCCTGGTACAGGCAGCAGCAGAGGAGGCCTGGGAGGCATGGGCATGTGCTCCAGATCCCACGGGCCAGGCCTCTGCCTCAGGCCACTTACTACATGTGAGGGGACCTCAGGCAAGTCCCTCACTTCTGAGCTTCCTTTTCCTTATCGAAAAATGCAGTAAAAATTGCCACCTGGAAGGATGGCTGAGGGATGCATTCCAGGCACTGGTACTGATTTTTCTGCTCCCACCAAAACTGCCACCAGCCACTCTCCACCCTTCTGTGCCCCAGAAGACTGGCCCCTCGGGCCTGCCTCCCAGGGCTCCCTAGCCCAGTGGCTTCCAATGGGGGGCCCAGGCGAGAGCCTAGCACTAGAGGAGCAGGAGGAGAGAGAAATTGGGGTGTTTCTTCTTGGACTCTTTTCATGTCTCTGTGGGGTCCCAGCATCTGAGGTGGCGAGGTCCTTTTGCATAGTACTGGATTCTGGTAACACCTTTCCATCCTGTGCCCCTTCAGGCCTAGGGGTGGGTGCATAACCTCTCTCCTATGGGTGCTATGTTGGGTGTCAGCACCCTTTCCTGGGTCCCTTGTCCCACCTGCACCTCTTTCGGGATGCATTCCCTTCCTTAGAGTCACTCCTGTTAATCCCTTCGGCTGTATCCCCCATTCCCTGCCAGGGCCTCCTGACACGGAGCCCAACACAGGATCTGGTGCCCCAGAGCTGCCTAGTAAGTGACATTCTCTTAGCAGGTGGCATTCTCTTAGCAAATGACAAACCTCCCCATGCCCACAAAGCTTGCAGCTGGATCCTTCTTCCATGAGACCTCCACTTGGCTGAATTGTCCCCAAGGGCACAGGCTTTGCCCTTTCCTGTCACCCACATCACTGCCTGGTCTGCAGGTCCAGACTTTGACTCAGTTTCCCTACTAGGACAAAAGTCCATGCTGAACTCCCACGTCCTTGGCCTGGCCCAGCTCTCTATTCTTTTCCTTCCTTCCTTCTTTCCTTCCTTCCTTTCCTCCTTTCCTCCCTCCTTCTTTCTTTCCTTCCTTCCTTCCCTCCCTCCCTCCTTCCTTCCCTCCTTCCTTCCTTCCTCCCTTCCTTCTTTCCATTTTTGCCTCCTTCCTTCCTTCCTGAGACAAAGTCTCCCTCTGTTGCTCAGGCTGGAATGCAATGATTGATCTCCGCTCACTGCAACCTCCACCTCCCGAGTTCAAGTGATTCTCCTGTGTCAGCCTCCTGAGTAGCTGGAATTACAGGCACCTGCCACCATGCTTGGCTAATTTTGGTATTTTTAGTAGAGAGGGGGTTTAACCATGTTGGCCAGGCTGGTCTCGAACTTCAAGTAATCCACCCGACTCAGCTTCCCAAAGTGCTGGGATTACAGGCGAGCCACGTGCCTGGCCATTCACACTAGTTTTAACTTCCGGCTTCATGAATCCATTTTCTCTTCTCCTCCGTGACCTGCATTTTGATTTTCCTCCCATCTTTTCCGGCTACGCCTTCCCCAGCTCCTCCCATCTCTGGCTAGTCTCCCTTTTCCAAACCTTAAAGTTGGGCTCTCCAAGGCTCAATCCTAGGTCCTACTCTCTTCTCACTCCCCACACTATTCTCTGGGGTGCGGCTCACCTTGTTCCCCTTCCTCATGCCAGCTACGGTCAGTATCAATTGGGCTACAGGCTAGAATCTCCCGGGAGCTTTGGAA